ACCCACCATGGGCAAAAATGGAACATACTGCCTTGAAGGAAAGGGTCCAGTCCTGGCAGCATTATCACCTGCTAACTGAAGAGCCCTTGAGCCCTGAATAACTAGCAGCAATACCCAAGTACTACAGTGAGGGCCCTGGGTGATACTCTGAGACTTGCTGGCTTCAGGTTGCAGCATGGCCACAGGCGGGAAGAGCACCAGGTGGGCTCTTGGGGTCCCTGATTCTAGGACTTGACTCTTGGGTAGCATTTCTCAACCTGCCCTGGGCCAGAGAGGAGCCCACTTCCCTGAAGGTTGTGTCCCAGGTCAGGCAGCATTCAGTAAGAGCTGATTTAAGAGCCTGTGGCCCTTAAGGAAAGATTGGCTGATAGTCTGGCAATATTACTCATGGCATGGTGTGGCAGTGGCTACAGGGTGAGATGACTCTGCCTTTGGAAAGGGGAGGGAAGAATGGGAAAGACTGCATCTTGTGGTTTGAGTGCCAGCACTAAGGTTTTTTTCTGTAGTCTCTGGCTCCCAGGCAGCACACCTGGACCTACCAGGGGCCTGGGGAACCTCGCCACCCTGAAGGGAAGGACATAGGCCTGGCTGGCTTTGCCACTTGCTGATTGTAGAGCCCCAGGACCTTGAGCAAACATATACAGTAGTCAGGGAGTGATTGCTGCAGGCCTTCAGTGAGACCCAGCACTGTTCTGGCTTCAGGTCTTACCCAATGCAGTCATGATGGTGATAGCCACAGGAGTGCTTATGTCACTCCACCTACATCTTTAGGTATCAGAACAGAAAGAGAGATTCTGTATGTTTGGGAGAAAGTAAGAGAGGAGAACAAAAGTATCTGCCTGATAATTCAGAGAATTGCCTCCACGAGTCTGCAAGAACCACAGTGTTACTCAAGTTATTTCAAGTATCTGGAAAGCCTTCCCAAGTAGGACAGCTACAAATAAGCACAGACAGTGGATATTATAATAAATACCTAACTCTTTAATGCCCAGACACCAAAGAACATCAACTGGCATCAACACATCCATGAAAAGACTTCAGCAATTAACTAAATAAGGCACCAGGGACCAGTCTTGGAGAAACAGAGATATGTGACCTTTCAGATGAGATTTAAAAATAGCTGCGTTGAAGAAACTCAGATCAATTCAGAATAACACAAGAAGGAATCAGAATTATATCAGATAAATTTAACAAAGAAATAGAAATAAAAAGAAGCAGAAATTCTGGAGCTGAAAATGCAATGGGCACACTGCAGAATGCATCAGAGTCCTTAAATAGCAGAATGTATCAAGCAGAAAAAGGAATTAGTGAGCTTGAAGATAGGCTATTGAAAACACACAAAGGAATCAAAAGAAAAAAGAATAAAAAACAATGAAACATGCCTACAGGATCTGGAAAATAGCCTCAAAAGGGCAAATCTGAGTTATTGGCTTTAAAAAGGAGGTAGAGAAAGAGATGGGGTAGAAAGATTATTGAAAGGGATAATAGACAATTTCCTAAACCTAAAGAAAAATATCAGTATCCAAGTACAAGGAGGTTATAGAATACTAAGCAGATTTAACCTGAAAATTACTTAAGATGTTTAATAATCAGACTCCCAAAGGTCAAGGATAAAGAAAGGATCCTGAAAGTAGCAATATAAAAGAAACAAACAACATACAATAATGCTCCAATACATCTGGCAGCAGGCTTTTCAGTGGAGACCTTATTGGCCAGAAGAGAATGGAATGATATATTTAAAGTGCTGAAGAAACAAAAACATTTACCCTAAAGTAGTATATCTGGCAAAAATATCCTTCAAACATGAAGGAGAGATAAAAAAAAATCCCACACAAAAACTGAGGGATTTCATCAATTCTAGACCTATCCTACAAGAAATGCTAAAGAAAGGACTTCAATCAAAAAGAAAAAACATTAATGAGCAATAAATAATCACTTACATTTACAAAACTCACAGGTAATAGTAAGTACACAGAAAAAACACAGAATATTAAAACACTGCAACTGTTGTATAAACTACTCTTATCCTAAGTAGAAAGACTAAATAAAGGAGGGACCATTAAAAAATTATAATTTCAACAACTTTTTAAGACATAATACAGTAAGATATAAATAGAAACAACAAAAAGTTAAAAAGTGGGGGGACAAATTTAAAACATTGAGTTTTTATTAGTTTGTTTATGGAAATAGTGTTATGTTGTTACCAGGTTAAAATATGGGTCTTAAAATAGTATTTGCAAGCCTCATGGTAACCTCAAACCAAAAAACACACAGTAGATACACAAAAAATACAAAGCAAGAAACTAAAGCATGTCACCAGAGAAAAATCACTTTCACTACAGGAAGACAGGAACAAAGAAAGAAGGAAGAGAAGATCACAGAACAACAAGAAAATAAATAACAAAATCACAGAAGTAAGCCCTTATCAATAATAATATTGAGTGTAAGTGGACTAAACTCTAATTAAAAGGCTGGCTGAATGGATGAAAAAACAAGACTCATTGTTCTATTGCTGACAAAAAACACACTTCACCTATAAAGATACACATAGACTGAAAATAAAGGTATGAAGAAAGATACTTTATGCCAATGAAAACCAAAAAGGAGGAGTTGCTATACTTATATCAGACAAAATAGACTTAAATACAGAAACTGTAAGAAGAAACAAAGAAGGTTATTATATAATAATAAAGGGGTCAATTCAGCAAGAGGATATAACAATGGAAAAATATATGTGCAAATCAATAACGAGAAGAAATTTGGAAAGCAAACACGTGGAAATTAAACAATATGCTCCTAATGACCAGTGGATCAATGAAGAAATTAAGAAAGAATTTGAAAAATCTCTTTAAACAAATGATTATGGAAACACAACATGCCAAAATCTATGGAATAGAGTGAAAGCAGTACTAAAAGGCATATTTATAGCTGTAAGTGCCTACATCAATAAAGAACAACTTAAAAGAAACAGTCTTACTATGTGTCTTAAATAATTAGAAAAGCAAGAGCAAACCAAACCCAAAATTAGTAGAAGAAAAGAAATAATAAAAATCAGAGCAGAAGTAAATGAGATTGAAATGAAAACAACTGATAAGAAAGATCAATAAAACAAGTTTGTTTTCTGAAAAGTTAGAAAAAATTGACAAATCATTAGCCAGACTAAGTAAAAAAGGCAAGATACAAATGAAATCAGAAATGAAAAAGGAGACATTGCAACTGATACTGCAGAAAGTCAAGGGATTATTAGTCGCTACCATGAGCAACTGTATGCCAATAAATTAGAAAATCTAGAAGAAATTGACAGAGTTCTAAATATTGCCACCTCCCAAGATTGAACCAGGAACAAATTCAAATTCTGAACAAACAAAGTAATGAGATCAAAGCCATATTAAAAAGTATCCCAGTAAGGAAAAGCCCAGGACTTGCTGGCTTCACTGCTGAATTCTACCAAACATTCCAAGAAGAACTAATACGAATTCTACTCAAACTATTTCAAAGAAAAAGAGGAGGAGGGAATACTCCCAAACTCATTCTACAAGGCAGTATTATTTGGATACCAAAACTAGACAAAGGCACATCAAGAAAAGAAAAGAAAACCACAGACCAGTATCAGTGATGGATATTGATGCGAAAATCCTCAACAAGATACCGCAAACCAAATTCAACAATACATTAGAAGGATCATTCATCAATACCAAGTGGCATTTATTCCTGAAGTGGAAGGATGGTTCAACATATGCAAATCAATCAGTGTGATACATCATATGTGGTGTGGTGAAAAGGGAACACTTTTACACTGCTGGTGGTAATGTAAACTAATAAAACAACTATGGAAAACAGTGTGGGATTCCTTAAAGAACTAAAAGTAGAACTACTGTTTGATCCAGCAATACCACTACTGGGTATCTACTTAGAGGAAAAGAAGACATTATATGAAAAAGTCACTTGCACACGCATATTTATAGCAGCACAATTTGCAATTGCAAATATATGAAACCAGCCTAAATGCCTACCAACCAACAAGTGGATAAAGAAAATGTGGTGTGTGTTATGTGTTGTTATATAGTAGATACTAATTATATATTATGTGTATATATATATAAATATTATATGAATACTACTAACCTATTAAAAGGAATGAAATAATGGCATTCACAGCAACCTGGATGGAGCTGGGGACAATTATTCTAAGTGGAGTAACTCAAGAATGGAAAGCCAGGCATCATATGGTCTCACTTATATGCGAGAGCTAAGCTATGAGAATGCAGAGGCATGCATATAATGGACTTTGGGGACTCAGGGGAAAGGATGGGAGGGGGATCGGAATGGGAGGGACATGAGGGATAAAAGCCTACAAATTGGGTACAGTGTGCATTGCTCAGGTGATGAGTGCATCAAAATCTCAGAAATCACCACTGAAGAACTTTTCCGTGCAATCAGACACCACCTGTTCCCCAAAAACTATTGAAATCAAAATAAATTTTTAAAACAACAACAACAATCCAACCCAATAATTTCATCATCATCTCCCTCCACTGCCTGTGACTCAGACTTACTTTCTCAATAAATTGTACTAGTGTTTATAGAAAGAAATAATCTTCACAAAACCTCCTTAACATGCAATTTGACTATATAAGAAACCTGCACATGTACCCTTGAAGATAAAATGAAAGTTAAAAATATTAAATAAGTGTGTAACTAGTTTTAAAAACTAAAATTTAAAATCATAAGGAAACCAAAGAAATTTAATTTCCAGGTGGTTGGAGGGAGTGGAGAGGGTGGCATTGCTCTTTACTGAAACATATTCCAGTTCAAATTTAGCTATCAGGCATAGTGATGTACATTAATTTATATAAATGTGATTTTAGAATTTAAAAAATGGCGAATTTTTATTTGGTTAATAAATTGTAAGGCAAATTTAAAAAATAATTTCTTTGGCAGCTGACATATATTAAAATTTAAAAATATAAAATTCATCTGATACGATTTTATTTTGGTAGATATATCCTGATTGTTTGGCACAAGCCATATATGCAACATTCCATGAAGCATTTCCAGAATCTAGTTACCTCTTTAATGATGAATTTAAAGAAGATCTAGGGAATACCATTTTTCTTTGGTGTTCAGGTATGAATATATCATTTAAATATTGATCATTGTTTTGGTTTTTAAAATTTTGGGGTTGCAGTATTTTATTTATTCCATCCAAAAATATTGGTAGTTCTTTTTCTCACAAAGCGTGCCATAGCAATACCCATGTGTTAAAATAAATGTCCTTTACTTTCTTCTGAAAATTTCATTTTACCATAATTAATTACTTATTAAATTTAGAAGCCAATATCTTATAAGCAATGGAATTATTATGGAAATATTATGGAAAATTGTTATGGAAATGTCACAGAAATAAAATCATACCATGTATGTACTATATTTGGACCATACATGTTTTAAACTGCTTTTAGAATACTACTTATATTTAATTAGCAAATAATATTATTTAGGAAAAAATCTAGAAATTATTTAATTTCTCGGAGAACATTAATCAAGGAAAACCTGTTTTTTAATCACTGTGTAGGTGAAAATGGTAGGATTGAAAAACTAAAGGAAAGTAAAACTCAATCCTAGAACATTTATCAAGAGCTTTAAGTACTAGGGTTTAAAACTAAGGTTGAGAAATATAGTTTCATGTTCCTGGAATGACCTCCTGACGTTTTTTAATAAGGTTATTATTACTAACCACCAGAAGCTATTAACTGTTTTCACATAGTTCTTGTAAATATTTCTATCTAAATGTTATCTAATTTTTAAAACTGCTTAATGTCAGTTTTTACTAACCAAATCACTTTTATAAGAAAATGTTTTATACCTTATGGAGGGAGGCTTTGAGAGGTAAAGACTTGAAAATAACCCTGAGAAACCACCTATGAATACACACAGGTAAGAATCTCCTGCTAGTTATATAAAAAATCAAATTAATTCAAACATAAGAAACAAAAACGAAATGACCGCAGCATTCATACAAAGATACTATAAGAAAAGAACATGATGAAGGGTAGAATAATGTTCTACAGACCTATTATGAACTGAATTGTATCTTCCCCAAAATTCATATGTTGAAGTAAATTCCTAATCTCTACTACACTTCACAATGTGACTGTATTTGGAGGTGTGATCTTTAAAGAAGTAATTAAGGTTAAATGGCATTACATGGGTGGACTCTAATCCAATATGATTGGTGTCCTTATAAGAAGTGGGAGAGAGAAATGATATGAGCAACATGGTGGATTAGGTTATATCAGCTTTTATCTCTCTCACGCACACACACAAAATAGTTAGACTGCTACCCATGAACAAAAATAGTCCTAGAAGGGCTTAAACATCATGTTTAAAACCTACAGCAATACAGTACAGCAAAACCCAATAATTGCACAGAAAGGATTTCTGGGGAGATTGACTTATGTGAGACATCTGGATACAGCTAGGAACAAAGAAAGGTGGAGAATATCAGAATCAGTCATGAGGCAGGTACCATTCTGGTCTCCAGTGGCCTGCTCTGCAAAGGATCCTAGCAGCCTTTTCTACTAAGGACTTCAACAGTTCCTGAGGCAGCCACACACTCCCTGCAGCTTTCACATCAGATGTCCCCTTAGTGTTCATCCTTTTTGTCTTGAGGACACTGCTGGCTCTTGCCACTGAGATGGTTAACCAACAGCCATTGCTGTTTCGACCTCCTGGAGAGAGAGAGAGAGACACTGCTGTGCTCCAACCTCAATAAGAAGCCACTGTTCTGCTACCCAGGGCTACTCGCATCCAAAACCATGCATGCCACAGACTCCAGAGCCACAGACACCCTTTGCATACCCACATTCTAGGCCTCAGCTTTGTTGCAGGAGCATGCATGTCCATGTTTCATATTCCAAAGTCATTTCCACAACAAGCTAGCCTGCACCTGGGACCATGGAACCACTTTTACTCCACACATGTCTGCACTTTAAACTCTAGCTCTACAGCTGCTCTATAAACACCTCATATGGACACCAGAGCCACTGCTGCAGCAGCTGCATCTGCATTGTGGACTCGAGAGCAACAGTAAATGTGCACATGCCCATGCTCTGGACCCCAGATCCCAGGGCAAACACCTGCACCCATGACACTGGACCCACTGCAACACCACCTCGGATTCCTGAGCTCTGCATGAATTTATTCTCCAGACCTCATTTTCTCGTTTCTCCAAAAGTTCACATGCCTCACACACCATTATTAATGCTGCTACAAAGGAACCTACACCACAGGCACCAATGTCCCTACTGCCCCAGACCCTGGAGCCACTGACTCTTCATGCATATTCATACTCCAAATCCTGGCACCATGGCCACTTTGTGGGCACTGGACATCAGACACTGATGCCACCACCACCACCACGAGGATGCCCACAAACTGAACCTGGCATTTTTAGGAATATCTGTGGGCATGAATTCCACTATGGGAGAAAAAGAGATTAGTAATGTCCCAGCAGCCTTTCTAACTGAAGACCCTAACAACCCTCACAGCCATCGCAAACACCGCTAGCCTTGGCGACTGAGGATGCTGCAATTTTCACTGACGCTGACTTCATCTGACAGAGCTGCATGCGGAGTGTAAGCTGTTGCATGCTCACCAAGCCAGAAACATGACACCTCACCTAGCCAATGCCTTCACATCCACCCATAATTGAAGCTCTTTCCCCACCAAAACCAACATGTAAATTCTGGAAGAGGTGACTGCACCATCAAATGTGCAGACATTAATGCAAAGCAAAAAGAAACAAGGAAAACAAAGAAACATGATACCACCAACAGAATGCAATAATTTTCTAGTAACCCAAAATAAATGGATACTCAATAATTTCCTGATAAAGAATTCAAAATAATTGCTTTAAGGAAACTAAGTGAACTAAAAGAGAACACAGATAGACAACTAAACAATAGAAAAAGATACTTGAACAAAATGAGATCAATAAAGAAATAGGAATTAAAAAAACCAGAACTCTGGAGCTTAAGAATACAGTGAATGAAATAAAAAATGCAATAGACAGTGTCAACAGCAGACTTGATCAAGCAGAAGAAAGAATCTGTGAACTCTAAGACAGGTCAATTGAAGTATCCAGTTAGAGGAGCAAAGGAAAAAAGAATGAAGAAAGGCTACAGGGTTTATAGGAAACCATTGAAAGAGTTAAATTTTACATTGCAACATTTTTAGATGAAGAGAGAGAAAGGGGCAGGACCTGAAGCCTTGACCCACTGGAGCATTTGCACCCCCTGGTACCCAAAGTGAAACAGCACCCCACCCCTTGGGGACCCAAAGTCTCAGCCTACCAGAGCATCCTCCTTCTCCAGTGCCAAAGCTGAGGCAATGCTCCACCTTCCAGGGACCCTAAGCTTAGGTCCCCCAGAGCAGTTGTGCCTTCTGGGGCCAAACTGATGAAGTGCTCCATGTTCCACGGAATCAGAAGCTTGGCTGAGCTGTTCTTGTCATCTTCGTGTTAAGTAGGCTGAGGAAAAGGAGGAAAAAAAGGGATTGGTCTTGGCGGTGGTAGCGGCAGATGAAAATCCATATGTAAGTGAACCCAAGTACTTCATTTTATATTCTTCAGGTGTCAACTGCATAATCAGACTCTCTCCTGACTTGCAAAGTTTTTGTTGAAAAACCCACTGAAAGCCACCACTTTGCCTTGTATGTGAGGAACTTACTTTCCCTTATTGCTTTCAAAATTTTTTGTCCATGATTTTTTTATTAACAGTACAATTTTATTGACTAGTACCTTCATGTTGTACATTAGATCTTTAGACTAGTTCATCCTACATATGTGCTCCTTCATAACCTCTAACCTATATCTTCCCACTCATGCTCTACCCCACCCACCTTGCCTGGTCCCAGTAACTAATGTTTTATTCTTTATTTCTGTATCTTTGATTTTTCTTATTTTCCAAATATCAGTGAGATCATGAAATATTTTTATTTCTGTGTCTGGCTTATTTCACTGGATTATTCCTTCCAGGTTCTACATTGTGGGGCAAATGACAGGATCTCCTTTTTTAAAATGCAGAATAATATTCTGTTTTACATATACACCAAAATATTTTTATCCATTCATTAATCAGTAAGCACTTAGGCTGTTTCTATACCTTGGCTATTGTGAAGAATGCTGCAATGAACATGGGAGTGCAGATACCCTTATGATGTGGTGATTTCATTTCCTTTGGGTAATATACCCAAAAGTGAGATTGCTGGGTCACATGGTAGTTCTGTTTTAAATTTCTTTAGGAACTCTCATACTGTTTTCCTCAATAGCTACATCAGTCTACATTCTTACCAATAGTGTACAAGGGTTCCCATTTATGCACACGCTTACCAAATTTGTTTGTCTCTTGACTTTTTTTTTTTTTTTTTTTTTTGAGACAGAGTCTCGCTCTGTCGCCCAGGCTGGAGTGAAGGGCAGGATGTCGGCTCACTGCAAGCTCCGCCTCCCGAGTTTATGCCATTCTCCTGCCTCAGCCTCCCAAGTAGCTGGGACTACAGGCGCCTGCCACCACGCCCGGCTAGTTGTTTGTTTTTAGTTTTTTTTTTTTGCATTTTTTTAGTAGAGACAGGGTTTCACCGTGTTAGCCAGGATGGTCTCGATCTCCTGACCTCGTGATCCGCCCGTCTTGGCCTCCCAAAGCTCTGGGATTACAGGCTTGAGCCACCGCACCCGGCCTCTTGACTTTTTAATAGCCATTCTATGTGAGGTAATATTCATAGTGGTTTTAATCTGCATTTCCCTAAAAATTAATGATGTTGAGCACCTTTTCATATACCTGCATGTCTTTTCATATATTTCTATGTCTTCTTTGAAGGAATATCTATTCAAGTCACTGGCTTGTTAATTGGGTTGTTTTCTACTTTGAGTTGTATGAATTCTTTATAAATTATAGATATTAGTTAGTAGATAGTAGTAGTTATATTATCTGTCAATATATTTTCCTAATTCATAGGTCGCCGTTTCATTTCATTGATTATTTTCTTTGATGTGCAGAAGACATTTAGTTAGATATTGTCCCATTTGTTTATTTTTGCTGTTGTAGCCCAGGCTATTGGTATGATATCCA